AATATCCGATGTTTGGAAAATTTTCTGGAGACATCCGCTCGAGCTAAAATTTTACATGTGATCAGGCATTGTCATAAACCTTTTTCCTGGAAAATTTAAAGGGTTATTATTATGTACGTTTAGGTAATACAACCGTTCGGATACTTATGTCCGCTTGTGTATGTAACTGCCTACGTAATTTTAATACTATATATTAGCCAAGCAAATTTTTGCCTATTAATCTGTTACAGATTGTAAAAACTGGTTTTAAAAATCTCTACCATTTTCGATTCGCATAATGTCTTGCTATAGAATTAACTTCTACACAAAAGAGAAGCATTCCTGTAATTAAAAATTAGACTACGATAATGCGGAAATTGCAAAAGCTGTGGGATGTCATAAACAACGATTACAAGATGCGTCGCTGCTTATGAACTGTGAGCTTTCAAAAAAGATCAACCGACTATGCTTTATGACAGCCAAAAAGATAAATATTGAAAGCTATGGTTCTCAAAAACTAACAAAAATTTCTAAAACAAATATCTACAAAAACAATTTGCATACCTCGAAAAAAGCTTTTTATTTCGGGCAATAGAAAGAAGACATTGGACTGTGGGGGTAGGGGACAGGAAAAAAAATCTGGGCAGATGGGTCTAGGTTTTCAGTTTCGAAAGCCTAGTTGCAGTTGGGAAATAATAGAAAGAATGTGAAGAAAGTCAGGAAAGAATGCATTTCATCAACAGTAAAACATTCTTCATAAAGGATGTAGCAAGATTCATTATGCGAAAAATCGAAAATGGTAGAGATTTTTAAAACCAGCTTTTACAATCTGTAACAGATTAAATCAAAACAATAGGCAAAAATTCGCTTGGCAATATATAGGCAAATATGATATTAAATTACGTGGGCAGTTACATATTAACAGTTTTATTAAATTGTCTACATTTCGACCGTGCAATACTTTTGATATCCCCCTGTATGTTCAAGAGCTACCTACAAGTTTATATCCAAAACTATTTAAATTTTTTTCAAAATTAAACTGGAAAAACAATTACAATTTTTATATTATTTGAAACAAAGGTTTTCATTAATACCAAATTTGTATTCTATGAAATTTTATTATGACAGAAATTAAAACTGAAATTGACATCGAAGTTATAAATTTATGACCATTTTGTTTTTATTATAATTTGCATTTCCTCAAAATTTACCAAATAGTGCAATTAAAATTTTTATCTAAGTTGAAAGCTCTTGTTTTGAAGAAGGTTTTTTGTCAATACCAAATTTAATCAAGATTAAAAATCCTGGATTTGACGACTTGATTTCTGGCCTGTTGCACGACAAATATTAAGTGCATACAAGCGACAGAGAGTTCTGTTATCAGCGAATTCTCCGATTAATCGAAATTTCTGTCAGTTTAGTGAAATGATAGATGCAGTTGTAATATCATTAGCGAACATCATATTCAGCTCATTATCTCAATATTTGCTCTTATCAAATAATATTTGAATTAGAATAGTTCTCTATATTCTAATAAAAACTCTTGTTTAAATTATTAAAATTATTTCATTTATTCCTTGGTAAAGCTATCTATCGCCGGCAGAAGTGTAAAACACTTGCCCGCATTGGCGGTAAACGGAGCTTCGACTTCGTAGAAACTTTGACATTACGATTATTATTTAATTCTGATAAACACGTTTAGTTTAGAGAAATTTCCCGACTTACAGGCTTTTGAAACTAATTCCATCAAAAAAATAGACTTCAAGGTTAAATAATAATCTAGGGACGGCGTATACAAGATCGACCAAGCATCGCGAGTATTTGAAACTAATTTTAAGGTTATTACACAGGTTTTTAACATTAATAGAGTTTAAGTTAGTCAAAGGCCTTGTTTGAAGAGTTAAATCTCAAATTGATATACGAATGCTCTCCGAGCGCGCTATGGAGAGATGGTCAAAGAAAGACTGTAAGTATTAATGCAATTATTGCTTCCTTTTTTTTTTTTTACTTATCTTATACATACTGTTCTCGTACAAAGAAAAAAAAGACTCATTCTTTCATAAACGAGAATACGTGAATTATAGCACTGAGCATGTAATGCTATTACTACTTAGTAATAACAGGCATTTATAGATAATCTCGTTAGAATGTATTCCCGTCTCTGAGACACAATACACCCAATATCGGCAAGTTTAAAAGATATTTGATCTGGCAATTGCATGATAAAGGGGATAACGACAGCCGTAATAGGTTCATCAATCTAATACATTCGTTGTAAAGCTTTCTTTATCGTAGCGGGTCTTACAGCAAAACCAGTTTCCATATTGCTACGTTTATAAGCTCCTTCTTCACGACAATCGCTTCAGGAGACTTTCAGAGTAAAATTGCATTTATTATCCTTTCGTCCGAATAGATCGGTTTTCGTGTATCGGATGTTATGCAGGATTGATCATGTTGATTTGACAATTCGGTTAGATTTTATTTCATCGATAGTTAGATATTTACTTGAGAACAAGAGTTAAATAACTCTTTTTTGGTTTGAACCATTTAAGACATGAAAAATGCCTGCTCGTGAGCAGGTCTATTTAAAGCTTTTAGAATTGATAATCTCGTTTTTCACATACCAAATTTTTAGGGCCACAGCATTTTGTTTGCGAGTCACGATATTTGCTGCAAACATCACCTGATTACGTTATAAAGCATGGTGGATTAAAGCAGTAATCTTTTTAATTGAGGACCAAAGGATAGGGGAAGAGCAGATGGTAACACGACGTATTGTTAGAGGCTTTACTTTATTTAGATCATCTTCATTGAGCTATATTTAATATTGTGTGTAACCCCTGTAGTTGTATTTATACTTTACATGATTGTAGATTGTACTGGATTATTGAATTCTTAACGATGGCCACCATCCCAAACCAATCACACTCCTCTGACATGCAAGTGTTCATAGATCAACTGGGGGGACATGGGAAGCTGTTGCGGAGCAACGATGGATCTGTCTTAATAAAACCAAGTATAGGGTTTGAAAAAGCATTCTATGAACAAAGCATACTGCAACCTGATTTCGCCGCTTGGCTGCCAAAATACTATGGAAGTCTTCAATTACACCAAGCCCAAGATGAAAACCCCACGCTTGCCGTTGGTGTTGATGATATCCTTTGACTAAATATATGTTTGTTTTTTTTCGAATGTAAAATCATTGTATGAATTTCAAACATCTTGTCTTTGACTTTGTTTAATCGTTTCGATAGTATACAAGCCATATGTCTCGAGAACATTACACATAACTTTAGTAAGCCCTGTGTGCTTGATCTGAAACTCGGGACTCGTCTATACCTCGACACCGAAAGTGATGCAAAGAAACAAAAAATGATTCGAAAGGCCGAGATTTCTACTTCTAAAAATCTTGGGATACGCTTAGTAGCATTTCGGGTACAATTGCGCACGCAATATCTCTCTATTTCTTTGTTTACGTCAATATTTATGATGGTTTAACGAATTGACACCACGTCACTCGTTTTCTACATCGTTAGGTCTACAAAGAAGCTACAGACGCTTATATCCTGTATGATCGTGAATATGGTTACACTTTGACTGATGACACTGTTCTTACAGGCTTTAAGAATTACTTTGACGCTGATATTCCACCGCATTTGCATCAATTGATAATTAAACGTTTTCTTAAAAACCTCACTGATTTTGCAAATGTACTAGAAAAAACCGAGCTGAGAATGTATAGCGCTTCGTTACTGTTCGTTTATGAGGGTAGTCGTGAAGCGTTAGAGAAAGCTCTTGCCAGAGAGGAGGATGAACTGAAGAAAAGTCAAGAGGAGGATGAAGATGAAGATGAGGATGAGGATGAGGATGTGGATGTGGATGAGGGTGTGGGTGAGGTGAACGGCAATAGTTATGGGGACGCCGTAGGCGGAGATGATGATGCGGATGAAGATGCATCATCATGTAAACCGACTGATATGAGAATGATAGACTTTGCTCATTCATATTTTGCCAAAGGAATAGGGAAAGATGAAGGATGCTTATTGGGTGTCATGAACACTATCAAGTATTTGACGATGCTGCTTGACGATGAGAAATAGAAGACTGTTTAATTTGTCAGTTTAACTTATGCGGGGCATTTCTACAAGAAAGAACAAATAATGATTTCGCGATCCCACACTAGATTATTTATACATGTTAGATTTCAATAAATCTAAAATTTCAACGCTTGTTGCTTGCAAAGTATCTTCGAAAGACTGGATCAATATCACTATCCCGCAAGCGACTCTTCTGCTACGGGTGTTATCGTTTTACGTAATATGAGATAGGAACAATTCATTGAATAAATCCGTCATTTCTATTTCGTTGGCATCACCGTCTGAAGTTGTGGGTCTGCACAAAGTCCGCATGATCTTATCGATGCCTGAGAACTTATTGTTAAACGAGCATTAACCCACTTGAGAATAATCAAACATGCAGTCAATTCTATTCTCCGATAAGAAAATGACAGTCCACTTAAAATGGTCATTTACACTAACTATTAGAATTTCCTGCTGAGGTTTACAATCGATTCTATAATCCTATATAACATGAGAGTTAAGCACAATAATAATGGGGTTGGGACAGAATCAGTATAACGATACTATTGCATATCAGGAATTGTGCCTTTCTTAGCAATCAAAATTGTATGTATATATTAGAAACTGTTTCTGTATGGATAGCTCATTAAATAGCATATTGATCATATAAGTCTAACGAAATAAGACTAATACTAACGGTCCTTATTCCCATAAATAATCTAGCGGTCTTATTCCCCATTATTAAGTCACGAAAAAAGTCTATCGGTCCCCCTCCATTGACAAGTCTAACCATTTCAATAAGTTTAATAAATAGGTTAACAAGTTAAATTGTCCCAACTCTGTAAGTCTAACTGTCCTCATCAGTCTAACAAAACTAGTATATTAAGAAGTGCTTCTGCGCGGGTTAGCTTATAAATAGCACAAAGTTTAATGAAAATAAGCCTAACTGTCATAATTTCCTATTATAAGTCTAACCTTAAGTCTAATAAAATTAGTCTGATGGGCCTCAGAAAAATCCAAAAATTCAAAACTTATCCCTGCTTCAAAGCTTTTGTCAGAGCATGGCACCCGCTTTTTAGCCTTCCAATGGAATCGGCTCTTCCACAAGCCTTTCCGGAGTTGCTGCGCGAATATTTGTTGATAAATTAATTAATTAAAGGAAAAATGGTATGAGCAAAGTATTAGTATAGCGCGAGCGTTAGAGATAACACCATGATTATGATCAGAAAAACAAGAAGTGATAAGAAAATACAATTTGCGAACGTTGTGGTAAAATGTATTTTGGGACAGAACCCTCATTACCTATTACCAGGCATTTGTGTGTCAGACCTCAAAACAAATGATGGTGAAAGTCGTCAACTATCTGGTTTCATTTGTCCTGCTATCCTAGGTGCAGTGATAGAATGAACAGTCTTCCTGAATATGAAGCTGAGTCTTATGAAGTTCAAAACTTCTTACTGTTTTCTGTCACACTGAAAGTTAACTAATTTGGCTAATAACATTTTGATTGTCACAGTTGTAACTCATACAAATTTAAGTTACTGTATATCATGCCTTCAAGTTGATTAAGATAGACTTTTACTTTAATATAGGATTATGTTTGTATAAAATAAAATATATGAAGCTAATATTAAGTCCATATGGAACCAAAGAATTACAGCACTATTCAAAGTATTTTAAAAAAGGCTCAAAGAGAAAAAATTGCTCTATATGTTTTTAAAGCGATTTAGTGGGTCTTTTATCACAGTTACGTGGACCGCTACAGCTGTTTCATATGTTTTTAAAATGAATGACACCAAAATGCTCAAGGAATATCTAGATAATGAAAAATCACTTATGAAATTTACCAAGAAGAAGAAAGGAAAATTATAATTAATAAACGAGCATTAACACCAACTTATGATGAACCAAGAAAGAAACGAAAACTTGAAGAAACATAAAAGCTTCTCCACTGATCAACACTGAAAGATCATTCCTTATAGTCGCCGATTTGTTATTGGTAAAAGACTGCTTGAGCACATTCATTGAGCCTGGATTTCGCGTTTCACTACTTTGATACAATTGTAACAATGTCAAATAACGTGACAATTATTTGATTTTTGTAAAGTAAATTTTATCCTAATATTCCTCTTCTGCCATTCACTCACAACTTGGCTTATTTTACTAACCAATATAACTTATTCACTTGCTTGCATCGCTGCTTGTACTGCTGTGACGATGCGTTGGTGTTACTGCCCGTCGGAGAAATGCAGAAATTTAGGAGAGAATACGTCACCGTTTATCACTAAAAGAAAATGTTGATACTTTTGCATACCATTCAATTTTTTAAAGAAAATCAATTAAGATCTAAGTACTGAAAACCTTTTCCATCGTCATAACACTGAGCTTTATTTAATCCAGCTGTACTCGATTTTTTTCACATCTTTAACAATATGTCTATACAGTCGTTTTGCACTTGAATTTAGTACCATAAAATTTAATTCGATACTTTCATAATAACCACACAAATTACCAAATACAGGTAAAATCAAATGGTAGTATTATTATTATTCTGTCCTCCCGCATTATCGCAAGTAATCTTTAGACGTTTTTCGCCCTTATTCAATCTCTTAATCCCATGGAATACTATGCTCAATGTGCCATTAGATAATTTCGTCGTCTTCACCAAGAACGTAATTAATTTGTTCGCGTACTGCTTCATCCTTAATACCAACTTTACGTGCACTGAGATAATAGATCTTACTTACCTGTTGATCGGAATGAGGAACGTGAACGTTTTGTGCTCAAACGTAACTGTAATGAGCAGTAGCGTCAATACTACAATAATAGACTCCTTTCGTCATAAAATGCTCATCTACTGATTTTCTTTGTTGCTCTGCTAACTTCGTGTTTTTGTTGTAACGAAGTCCCTGAATAAGAGCTATAATGTAAGAAATGTGAACTGAGACGTTATTCTCCTGAAATATTTCTTTTCGAAGTGTCTTTAAGAAAAATAGGAGCTTGCATACCGTTTCTGAGATATCAAGAAAAAACCAGTATTTAATATCAAATTGAGTAACTCCATTCATTAACGATCCAATAAAAGCAAGGCCCTCTCTTGTAATGAATGGCTCGCACCCCGAGTCGCGAAGACCAGTTACACTGCATAGTAATAGTACGACGTCTTACTCGCACGGCGACACTCAACATCAGACAAAAATCTTTCGAGTCGCTAAATTCCTGACGATTTTTCCCATAATAATAAAGAATTGCGTCCTGTGCATCGGTATGGCGGTTTTTCTTTTGTTAGATGGACACAATGCAACAATCATTTACACTTGTCAGTCGAGTAACAACATGTCTATTTATGGAATTTAAGAATGCTACGAATATGTACTCTATTAGGGTAATTATAACAGTGTCAGAAATCACCTGTTCCCTGCTTGCATTCTCAACAAATTTAGAAAAAGCGTAACTATGCTTCTTTCGTGAGAAGCCGGCATCGTAACAAATGATTTTTTTTGCTCCAATTATCGAGCCCCCATGGAATACTTCATTTGACTGATCTCGTGGAAATCGTGAATTTCCTGATTGTTGCCTAACAGCATACAAATCGGGAACCCATTTTCTGCAAGATGTGAATTCTTTATGTTTTCAGACATCGATTTTCTGAATTATGTTTTCGTATCAAGCACGGACAATACCGGTAAAAGTTCGACAAGGCGAGTTTTCAGCATACATGGTTCAACCTGGGAGATTGCCAATGCGATATCAATGCATACACGCATGTCTTGTCTTGCGTTGACAAAATCTCCATCACAAGTAAACGACATAGGTAATAACGAGACACAACCGTGTAACGGAGTTAATACTCGCCCAAACGATCGTATTATTACAGTAATAAATAAGCAGACTTCGTTGATTATGATGATGATGATGATGATGATTTGTGCACCTAAAAAGGTGGCAGAATACATTTTAAAATAAACATTCGAATAGAAAGTGTCCTAGACTTGTGTTATCAGTCATTATCACGTGTATTTCCGTCTACTCAACTCTATAAATTGTGACTGCTAAGATGGAGGGAGAATGTACAGATTCAAAAGGGAGATTTGTTCGATTAAACTATTCTACTTCTACTTAATAATAACGAAATCACAATAATCACATTAATTATGAATTTGATCATGCAGATCCGCTCGATTGTTGGCGCCAATCGTTGTTAAACGACTGAGTCCTTTAGTAATGTTTCAGGCGACGCTCGATCCTTTCTAATCTTTCTCGAGTGATGAAGGCAAAAGGTAAGGGGGAGTCAAAAAGTAGTAGCCACTCGCGTGCGAAACGGAAAGAACCAAAAGTTTGTTGTTTTTTTTTGTTTGATTGAAAAAAACGTAAAACTATATTAACACGTACTGCATGTGATTACTCCAATTAATTTTTGCCAGATACTACGTCTTCGGTGAGAATTTGTATCGGCACCATTGTTTCCTTGTGTATTAGGGTTATTTGCACCATTGCCGCCATTCATTCCAGTTCGGGCCGTGTACGGACCATTCATATCGTCGACGATTCCAGAGTTCAGGATGGCACTGTTGTGTTTCTGTGCTTTTGTTGCATTACGCTGTGATTTCGAATGGATTAATGCGTTGGATTGACTGTTTGGCAGCGGATTACGGTTCATAGACGGTCCGCGAGCTATAGCAGGTCGGTGAAGGCGTGGGTCGGATGATCCGTGATGATGATGATGGTGGTGAAGATGGGAAGAATTGTGGCCAGCGTTTGAGCTATATTGCTGAGAAGAGCCGTGTATTGTTACGCGCGTGTTAGTTTCAGGATTCATTGCACCGTCATCTTTCCGCTATGTTTTTATTTTATGCGGAAACAAACCAAAAGGGAAAGATGATTTCGAACGACAGATGTATAAAAAAAAATGAGACATGCAGAGGAAACCTGTCGTCGTATATCAAACGAACGACATCATACTGTCTCTAACGATTGCCCTGAAAACATAAAGGTATCCACTTACCACGCTAGCTTCCCAGCCCTTCCCTCCATTTAATAGCATCCAATCATAGATACCATCTTCAACTTCATTTTTGTTCTTTAGAACTTTGGTGAACAACTCTCGCAAAAACTCGTAATCAGGATTTTCTTCAAAACCCAGCCTACGAACATAACTAAGGTAAATCCCGAATTCTTCTGTTTGCAATTGGATGAATATGATACAGATTATCAGTATAGAATATCGCATTTTCGTAACAGAGTGAAGAATAGTTTGCAAGTTTTTAAAAAGGTAACTTACCTGGGAAACCGTCACAAAGTTCTTTAATTGATGTTGATTGTTTCTTCTCACCAATCTTTTCGTATTTCTGTTTATTTGTGGCGGCTTTAAGACCTTGCCATGGTAATCCGCCTCTCAGGAAATACATGAATACATGTCCGAGTGCTTCCAAGTCATCTCGGCGTGATTGTTCTGAAAGACGATGACAAGGTGAATAAGCCTAGCCTACAGCTTGTTCGAATATCCAATTTACACATGTTGTTCTGCATACCTCGACCCAAATGAGTATTGATACTCATATATCTTGCCGTACCACTGAGACTTTTTCTTTCTCGATAAGGAATGTGTTGTTTTGTCCTTGGGTCTCTATATTGTTTTGCCATACCGAAATCGACTACGTGTACAACGTTTGCAGCTTTTGTGCCCGGACGCCCGATTAAGAAATTATCTGGTTTGATATCGCGATATATAAGATTCTTCTCGTGAATTGTTTGCACGCGCGTAAGCTGAAAATACCAAGCAAGGTGCATACATAATAATCCACATAAAGCACGAGAGAGAGAGAGCATATGAAAGTGATTGACAGTAAGCAAAGGTAGTAAGAATCGACTTAAGATACCAATTTGATATCACCATACCATTTGTTTGGCTACCATGACAACTGTTTTGATACTAAACTTTCTTCCGCACATGTCAAATAAATCTTCTAAACTTGGACCTAGTAAGTCCACTGCCAAAACATTGTGAAGACCTTCTTGTCCGAAATAATAGACGTTCGGTATACCGACTAGGAAAAGTAAAGGAACGGTTAGAAAAAGCTCGGGTCTCTTGACTGCATTGTTTACAACGTAGAGAGGATACTCACGACTTCCGGCCAGAATTTTATATGTTCTATATTCATCACGGAGTTGTGGTGCGTCACTTTTGCGAGGTTCCTGAAATAGAATGAGAGTTAGAAAGTTATACAATAATCTCGGAGCAAGAAGACTTGAAATAACGAAACTCGACATACAAATTTAATGGCGACTTGTTGATTACTTAGAAGGTTTGTTCCTAATGTATATTGAAGAATAATATAAACAAGTAGACAATCGATGAAATGATGTGGGAGAAGCAAACATATATGGAACTATTGGAATAACTAACTCTAGATCCTAGCTAGCGTGTTTAGAGGCAGGACCTGATCACTCGGAAAGATGTCTTGAGAAGATAAGACACATATATTTGGAGAAAAGGAAGAAAAAAAGAAAAAAGCCAGTATGAGAAACCTTACCCTCAAAGATAACACCAAAGCTGCCTTCACCAATCTTCTTTCCGACTCTGTAATGTACCCCGACAACGTTTGACGAATGTAAACTAAGGGAGCTGTTCCCTAGGTTGTTTGACATGTGGTGGTGGTGATTTGCAGCCATCTGGAATTTGTGTGAGTATGGAATTTAGTTTTCTTTGGCGCAAGGAAGAAAAAACATGAGACCTCTTCTCGTTGTGCTTGCCATATATGGAGCTATTGCTCCCAATCGACCATTCTCACCTAGCGAGAATGTCACACGCAAACAATTCATAATGTTGTACTCCGGTGATGATCAAACGAATCATATCATCAAGTGGAATCTACAATCACTAGTGGTGTAGTAAGCATTAAATATTCTGTACTAAGAATTGGTTGGATTAACTCGTCATTTGTACGTATAACCGAGTTACTGAGTTTTAATAAGGTAACAAATGAAGTCTGGGCTGTCCTTCTTTTTTTGTGTTCTGATTGTGGGATTTTAGATGCCGGCTTTTACTGATGTCGAAAATGTGGAAAGTATGAAAGCCGAGCTAACTCGTTATGGAAAAGGAAGGAATTCAACGGCGGAGTTGGAACAGGTAAGTCGCAAGCAATAGGGAGAGTGTGATGCACGCTTATTATGTTCGGTTGTCTCCATAGACGATATCTGCGCTTGTACGTCGGATATGGCGCACATTTCACCCTGCATTAAATCAGCGTGTATGTTCTCGTATCGTCTTGGTAATGTGGCTTCTCCGGAATAAAAATAAATATGTACACGTGATTCATATCATTATCATCACATCGTTGTAATCACATCGTTGTATCATCATCATAATCAGCATCAAAATAATTTAAACCTAAATGTTAAAGTTTATTCCGTAATCTCGTTAAATTTAAACTCTAACATGCCGAGGTTCTGTTAAAAGTGCACATCATCTAGTCGTATGAGAATCACACTCGATAAACAAAGAACCGTTTATTATTATCAATTCCGTAACACAAGATCTTGATGAAGTCATTATCAAGTGTTTAGAAGCAGCCAACCCTCAAACTGCATCTGGTATGCTTCGTCGATAATCTTCTCAAGGACACCATCCCAATGATACATACGTACATACATCATACATACTTATACATATTCAGCTGCACATTGGCTTTGTTCCTAAATTAAGTTTTTTACTGTATTCGTACTGCCAGGCTTTCTTAATAAATTTACTTTTTAGGAACTATTATGATCCTTCGAAAACCAACTTTTAGGGGGGGTGTGTATAGTGTGTATATGCATAGTAATAGGGAGTTTTTTGTCTTTCCATAAGTAATTAAGAGCGACCAATAGGCCGAACGACCAATCGTTTCGTGTCACTGGACAGCGATCTCTTAGCACCATTACCAGGGTCCTGTGTACCCATGAAACTTCTTATACGGCCCAATGGGAATAATGACTTTTAAAAAGCATCGTCCAACTATTATTCGATCGGTTTATCCTCAACAATGATGGCAGCTTGTTTTAAAATTAGCCGAATGGCTAGCTCATCTGTGCATTCTCGCTCGAAATCAAATATTTACTTCTTTGATAAATTCTCTCAATAATTGTTGTTTTGTGATAATACTGTGAGATTACAAGTTAGTATGACTTCGCATGCATGATTGTACTAAGTATATGTCATGATAGATCAGAGGTGCTCAGGTTACATAATATGAACTGTGTAATAAAAGGAAGTGCGGGCTAGTATACATTCTGGTCGGTGGGGAAAAGATGGTCTACTTGTCAGAAGAAGAGGATATTAATATTTGAGAAGAATGAAGAATAGGTTATACCATGGCCAAAGGCACAATATGCATAGGCATGCCAAACGAGTTGGTAGAGTAGACAACTTATTGTTATGTTTTTGGAGCTGTTAAGAGCAAAAGAGATGGTATGGACGAGAGAGGCAACAGATGTAATGACTGTCCAAGTAGGAGTTAGATAATTAATGCGTTGATGCACCATGGCCCATTTTAATGTACCACCTGAAAGTAAAGATCGCGAATATTTTATTCGGGTAACACAGTTTACTGGCGCTTTTGACGTCCGCTTCTATTATATATCCGGTTAAGTCTCCTTTTACAGAACGTCGAAGAAGTACCATAGTCACAATGAGATTTCGAGGTCTTTATTTAGGCGCACCCATATTCACAATGATTATTACTAAGTAAAGCTATAGCGATCCTCATTGTCACTAGCATGTGACCTGGGTATGTATTGGTTATATCTGGCCAGAGATAACTATTAATAGATTAATCGCAAATACAGTCCTACCTCAGGACGGGTTTCCCTTTATTTTAATTCCATATAAATCGGATCCCAATTTTCCATTCCCGACCTTATAGTATCATGCTATTTCTATATACAGTATTGATATGAATATGTGTGATAGAAATATGTCGATCATTTGCTTCATTGGTTATGAATCAGGCCACAAATCATCAGGCATAAATCGGGCCACATAATAAATAGACTTGGTATCGTAGATAGGTTAACAACGGAAGAGTATGTTCAGATAGATAATAATTTGGTCAGCGCAGAAAATGATATAAGATATAGTAGAAAGGTCGAAACGTCAAATGTCACTGATAGAATTTATTAACCAATAAAATTGCTTACTTTAGATGTCCCACTTCTGAAAAAGCTTGGGTAGATAGGAGTGTAGAGAAGAGAAGATTAGAACTTATTTTTATTCCATATTTTGATCAAATATTTACTGGCATGCCATGGACATGCCCTAAGACCTATCCATTGACGTCTGCTAGACGTTTCATAGACATGTTGAATCGTCGAGATGATATAAACAATGTAACAATCCTAATTCGCATCGTATAGCTAATTACTTTAGGTAATAAGTCGGTTACGTCTAATTCTACTAATTGAGTGTAACATTGGTAAAAGTTTATTGTACAAAATCCAGTAGAAGTCAAAACTCGCGTAACACTTTTACTTCATTATGTGATACATAACGTCTGCGTTAATTATTACGCAACTGTTGAAATTACTACAAAGGGTCGTTTCATCATTAAATGGATCCAGTCACAACGACACACAAAATAATGACATCAATTACGAATAATAATTTTTACTTTACAATGTTAATATAAGGTGAATCCGTTAAAATGGACTTAGTTATATGGGTTCGAATTGAGAACTGGTCGCCATTCAGAAGCTGTAAACGGAGAATAGGGAAAGGCCCGAACATTGCAATTATTGACAAAAGAGCTAAAATTGTAATAGGAGAGACGAATTCGGTATGCCTTTACGAGTAAACGCAACTATGGGTCCTTCTTTGCCCGGCTTAATTCCCGTAAATGTCTTTGATACTCTTTAAAATTTTCTTGACACGTTAATATTAACTGTGCTACAATTAATCAAGCGCATTGCTCCACTATAAATTTATCCCGAATGGTTTCTATATAAATACACTATTTTAATTAGAAGGAAAAACGCTTTTAACATACTTCCACAGACTATAAAGAGAGTCATGTGTAACTCATCTTAGAAGTTTCGAGGCGTTGTATCACTTGCGCTAGAAAAGATTAAGACAGAACTACCAAATTAATTGGGCATTGATGTTTGAACCAAGGCTGTTGATACTGATAATAGTAATAATGTGGCATTTTATATCATTGCTATATTAACTAACTTCACCTCTTGGTCTTCTAACCTAATTTATCTTACACGGACAGCCTTTGCATCATAACAGTTGGTCAATATGAATATGGCACATAACATTTTGATGGCTGTCACGTCTGACACATTGAATATTTTTGTATTAACTCTGTCCCATGCATTTATCCCTATTATGCGGTACTTTTGCACTAATATTATCTTTCCAACTTTTGTTTTCTAATCCAAACGCAGAGATTAAATTAACAAACTGAAACTGTTATAGTTAAAAATTCTACATGTAAAGATTCGTGAGTGAAACAAAACAATCCCCATTGTATGTGTAACTAATTCTCAACGCGGGCTTGTAACAGCCGTAATTTATGTTTCATAATTCTAATCAACGTCTAGAGTAATTGCATGGGGAAAATATTCGGGTTCCAAAGCCGTTAGTGAGTATAATTTATATCTTTGGTCACTCTGGTGCAAATTTAATATTCACTTCTTCTTTATAATAATAGTAATAATTGTTACCACTGTTATTAAAAGTTCAAAGCTAATTGGCAAGGGAAAGCCTGTTCTAATTCCATAATACGAACGTTTTACTCGCAAAGAACAAACCAATACCAATGGGAAAAGACCGCCGGGGTGTTTCAGTGTCGGGTTAATGAAGGAAATACAAAATGTGAAGACGGTAAGCGAAATAAAAAACCGATATCTGGCGAGTAAAATTTGTATGTTGACGGCTTTGTAACTCTCTAGACTTTATCGTCTTGATTAATGCTGTAGTTTTATGGAGTATGCCATTTAGAACACACCCAAAAGAAATTCAGTCGGAAGTAGGCAATGTTTGGAGAACGTTTGTTGATGGAGGTTTTCAAATTAAGTTTTACTTTATCGCGTTCAATGTAAATTGACACTGACTCACGGTTTATCGACCCCATCAATTATTATTGGTTTGACTGTATTGTTTATCGAAACTAGAATATTACTAGGCAAAACTAATGATTAATGTCGGAAGACCTCTCGATTTTAAAAAAAGTGCGCAACAAACAAAGTCCATCAAAAAATTTATTTAGAATGTGTGGCACGGCTGTGGCGTCATAAAAATTTTGAACTGCAATTCTTCCCATTTACTTAAAATTTCAAACCGGGAACAGTACATTCGCGAAGATCAGACATAATCGTGCCGATTATGACAGATTCTGGAGGTCAGTTTGTGCTAAAGCCCCACCGGCTTGTCTACATCATAGTTTGTGTGGATCCTGACTAGCTTTCAGCAAGTTTACTGTAAACGTTTCTTATACACACCAGAACCTTCAGAGACTCCATCAAGACGATCAAATGTGGAGCTTCCGACCAAGAGAAGACGAACTTTGAGATCAAGAGGCAAAACTAATCAGAATGTGAATGAAGAGGTCGTAACTGTCGATCCGCCGCAGGTTGTTGAAGCAGAAGACAGAAATAATAATCAAGTGGAAAAGGTATACGTGTCAGATATAGTGAGACATTCTTTGATCGCATCTCATTAATATGCGATCTATCACAGGACCTGATTGTAACTGATGAATCTCTGCCAGTCTCGGACAAACCAGAAAATCAAGTTCAGGATGTCGATAAGGTATGTACGTAGACATACCTCTTATATAGTTTTTATGTGAGAATACGAGCACTAATTAAGAAGAGTCTTGCAGGTGGTGATTACGGAAGTTATCATTTACAGCTTCGGGACGACGACAAGGTGTACTTGATAACGGCGAGACGTCGTTATCAAACGAAAAGCAAGCTCGAGGGAGAATATAGTATATGATAAAGTCTATAATATTAATCACTAATTCAATTGCCTATTTATTCGTAGACTGAGCAAGTAGGATCTCCTTCGACAAAGGAAATTGACGAAAAACGAGAAAGTAGCTATACATGCAGATAATTCTCCTTGTCTGTCTTACTCAAAAATTAATATAATTTATTTTCATGTTTTATTCAGTTCCCCCGTCCAAGCACGAACCTACATCTACTTTATACATAAAAAACTTTGTGAGACCTTTCACCGTTATTATGGTTCGCGAGCTTCTGGATAGATTTGGGAAAGTGGAGTTCTTCTGGATGAATAAGATCAAGTCACATTGTTTTGTGCAGGTAAAAGTTCTTTTGTAATGTCATCACCGTTCATCCTCGTTGGGTTTATTTAATTTGTTTATAATACGCTGATAGTACGAGACGGTCGATTCGGCAGCTAAAGCACGGCAGACTCTTTGGAATGTGCAATGGCCACATGAAACAGGTAGACCTCTCGACCTTGAATATATAGAGATAGAAAAAGCAAAAGAAATTATTTCAGAAGAAGAAGAGAAAGAAAGGAATACGAAGAAACAAACTAGTATCGATGGCGAATGGAATCACAATAAATCTGTTAATGGTAACTGCATTGCCTGTTCATAATTGATTGTTTGATAATAGGTGATAATAAATATTCATCTTCCGTGTTTGCCAACTAGCACCTCTACTAGAACAGCAGCAGCAGCAGCAGCAGCAACAACAGCAACAGCAAAAACAACAGCAACAACAGCAACAACAGCAACAACAACAACAACAGCAACCATCCAATCAGCAAAATTTCCGAATAGTCCCAATAGATAATCTCTTTAATAAAACCACGACAACTCCCCACTTATACTACAAACAAGTGTCACGGGAAGAAGCAGAAGTTCGATTGCGTCAGCTAACCAAGGAGAAAAGTAGAAGATCGTGATTCAAACAGGAAAATAGCAGTATGATTATCTATTAATACCTCAATCTTTGTCTGGTCTCCACATTGGAAGGGATCTATCTTGAATTTATCTGTTCATTTCTGAAGCATTTATTTGTGGTCACTGCCTTGCAACAATAAACTTTTGTTTCTTACGGCCGTAGGAGGCACATGTAGGCTATTGGCTAGTTTACGAATATTAGACATTAATGGCAGTGAGACTCTTTGAAGATAATTCGAATTGGCAGTTCCATAGTATTGTTCGGTATTATGTATATACATGTACAGTGTAACGAAAATAATGGCGGGACAAAAAAAATCTCTATTTCGATAAACACAAAAGATAATTAAACAAAATGTTGTTACTTAAAGTTTATTACATACTTTATTAACAGAACAGATTTTAATATGCCATCATTTTTTATAACTAATTTTCATTGAGCGTATTAAAATTTTCAGAATATTCCCATTCCTCAATCATATACTGCTTTAATTCATCAATGTCTTGTGGATACGCTTTTCTACATTATTTTTTACACTCTGCACACACATTTTCAATAGAGTTTAAGTCGGGACTATTGGATGGCCAGTCCGCGACTCGAATTTTAAAAAGGGCGTTTAACCTTTTAAAGAATTTCCGCCCCATGCCATAATCTTTTCGGCAGACGTCGGTGGGCCTATTGTGTTCTTTAGGACGCCTTGTTCCTGAAACGTCGCGCCCAGGCTTTCGTGTCACCATATGACGACTAGTTAACGTAGGCGTTGCAAGAGGCACAGAACTATGGTGTCATTTTTTTTCTCATATGCCTGCATGCTCTTTTTTAGCTAATAGAGCAAGGTGGCGTACCGTAAGACCGATGATGATGCTGGCGAGCGAGAGTTTGTGTAACTTCTCACTAACGCGCTTACGCTCAATTGTACCCGTTTGTCAAAAATGTGAAATAGTTTGACGCTGAGCCTCGAGTCTTGCACTAACCATGTTTTAAAGTAAAACAGAAAACGGTATCAAAGGTTTGTTTAAACAACAGATGTTAATACATGAATCGCGTAAACAATCGCGTTTGTAGTCATTTCTTAACCGACATTATTTTCGGTAAACACTGTATATATTTATGAGTATGTGATATATACGTATACGTTGGTTGGTTACGCAACACATCAACCTTCTCCAATAAATTGCATGAAATTTGTATGTGTCCTCTCGACTGTTTCCTTCGGCGTCCAATTCTTTACCATGGCTACGGCTTCTACTATTTCCCGCATTAGCCCATCCAATCCAATCGGGGAATGAAAATCGGACTCGATTAGCAATCTGTCTTCCGGTACGGCGCTCACCAATTCAGAAAAGCGTCTATTCCGTCCATTAAGTATACTACTAAATGAGAAATACATATCAACCGGAAATTTCTTCTTTTTTGTAGATTGAGTCAATAATTTGATGGTATCAACTGATCCACTATACGAGTGTATACAAATGCGCGGAGGGAGAGGTTGTTGCTTTCCAAACTTGCTCTGTATAAGCGAGACAAATTGTCCCGTCGATCGCACACAGTGTAAACTTACGCTGCGATTATGCTTTGCAGCTAAATCGAGCTGTTTCTCGAGAACGGCTGCTTGGTGATCCATTGAAGTTTGTATTTTCGTTGGAGTCTGAGTAGTTGGTGATAGTAATTTTGCGGATGTATCCAGACCTACTTCTCCAAGGTGACTGCGGGGATAGGCTATCAGAAGTTTTTCGACAGTGGTCAGCCAGTTGGACAGTGGTATTGGAGATGGTAAAGAACTTATAATAGTCCCAAGAGAATCTTCGTCACTAGACGTTTTGTTAGATTCGGTATTCACAAGAACAGAGCGATAATGTAGTTCTTTGTCTGGCACATCTTCTAAAGATAGACCGTGAACAAACCATGGATGGAGGCCTATAATGCAAAGCTGTCAGCCTAGCTTGCTTAAATACACTACCTGGACAAAAAGTCTTGCACATCCACAAATTTATTAATTATACACATAATAATCATGTCTCAAATTTTAAATTGATTTTGAAAAAACATCTGTGTAGTTTTTGTGTTATTTATAAACCAACATCAGATTATATGAATGTCAATGTGGTAAAATTATTTGGCTTTACAAAAATAATCAAAATTAAAATGGCTGCTCAAAGTTCATTAAACAACTCTCATATGTTAAAAGTACATTAACAGAGACAGTCTTGATACTTGTCCTGGTCTGAGCAACTTAATCTGAAATTATTGACTAATGAAAGTAAAAAAGTACTGTTAAAAAAAAAAACAAATAAAAACCAGCTGATTAAGTAAAAAAAAAATGTTGAAAAAAATTTTCTACTAAAACAATTAGCAGAAATTTGCATAAAATAAAGATTTCTTCTCATGTATCCAACTCAAAACTTATTCTAAGCAACCAGCAAAGAGCCTAAAGTGGTACACTGAAAAGAGAGATTGGATTTTGAAAATGGAATATGGTATATGGAGTGATGAGAGCAGATTTGTGATATTTAAAAATGACAGTTCAAGCTGTGTTGGAGAATCCTGATATTTGACTGCACTGCAGGAAAAATGGGACAAGATCTCAAAGAATTAACTAATACTAATGAGCTTGACAGAAAATGTGCCACTGAGAATAGAAGTGGTTATTACAAACAACAGGTGTCTAACAAATATTTATTTATATTAATAATTACTTTATTTGTTAAAATATGACATGTTAAAATTTGAAACACAATTATTATGTGTATTTCTGTGCAATTCATAAAGACTTCTCCTCCAACACCATTATAGTGACGCACCAAAGAATGGTATAACTTTCTCTTTAAAGTCACCAGCCAATTTTGCAACAATATCCAAATCATCCATATGGGTTCCCATGACACCTAGTCTTCCTGTCTTAACTTGTTCTCCAAGTCGACTGATATTTTCCTTGTCATCATGAAGATGTGTATGGGCATCACACACAGCTGACCATTGCCAATCCATCTGATCAAGTTCTTGTTGAGTAAGTAACTGAAATCAACAGCCCCTAATTATATCACCTGATCTTTAATTCAAGGGTGTCAATATTACGTCATAATATAAAATCGATGATCTGTTTAACGCTCTTAGCATCTTTTTGACGTTATATTTATGATCCGTCCTTTACAAGTGGGGATAGATCGTAAACGTTTATTCATTCCGAAAGTTAGTCCTATCACAAACTAAAAGCGAATGTACTATTTGTTCAATAACTTGTAATTTATAATAAGTACAAAAAAAAAAAGATGCTATACATTTATATCTTCGTTGACAATCATTCTAAACGTTTTATTTGAAATTAATAGTTATTATGGTAGACGCGTATGTAACGACAAATAGGTTAAAAATTGCTGTCGCTAAAGTGAAAAGATATTGACACAACCGTTAAAAACGTCAACGGAGATAAAGCCAATTATTGAGTTGGAATTTTTATCTAGAATGCAGGTATATATATACCACATGAACTTTCGCAACAATTAACTAAGCAAATACTGACTAGTTCTCTGAAGATTGACCTTATAGATATGAGTGCGCGACCGGATGGAGAATATCGCGACCTCTGAAATGCCTTGTTTAATAAAATTTTTGAAGTGGTAATGGCAAAGTGAGGCCGAAAGAAAAAATAATAACCCGGACTTTTCGAGGTTACAAATTATGAACTAGAAAAAAAATATATCACCGGGCTTTTAGAAATAACAGGAGAAGATAAACAGATTCCACGTTCCTCTTGATGTCCTCGACTAGCTTCTACGTTAGCGCTTCGTCACAATTACTATCATCCCCACTATCACCCCCTCAATCGCGCAACCGGTTTTGGATAGCTCACGCAAGGGATCACTTTACCCGATTCTCCTGGACAAGATCACTAAAGAGCAAAGAGGCAAAGAATGTTGCTCGCACAGCTGCCTCACGAAGAAAACCGCCATGACAATCTACCGCATTCTTATCCTCAGCAAGTTCCGATTCCCACTTCCCAAAATTCATTGCAAACGAATCTAATGGATATCGCTCTTTACCCAAACACATGATAATAAATGGTCGTCCGCGTCATCCCCGGTCACAGGGATTATTGTAAAAGGGGAATGACATATTGGAGACAAAACTTTCGGCCTGGTTGGAGGATAATAAGCGTGATGGTTAGAGTTTTGGATTGCCGATGGTTACATGTCAGTATTTCAAGTAATATACAGTACATAATGTACGGTGTCTTACTCGTTATAACAAACAAATCAACTTACATATAGGGGCAATGAACACCCTACGAGTTTGTGTTTGGACAAGAACCTCGTTCCAGACTATCGCAGAGTTTCCAGAACCTGAACAACGTGCCCGTTGATAATGCGTTTGAGAAAGCATTCCTGAATATCGTTTACAGAGCTCTGCTGCGTCTGTTAATTCTGTATGTCATTACAAGCCAGGTTGTGTTAATAACCGGTGTACGTGTAAAGAGCAGGAGTTACTTGTGGCTCTCGCTTCCATTTTTTCATATGTAAACAATAAAGTGTAATAGTAATAGTAAACAGTAACAGTAACTTAATCTGTTACGTCATAAATTGAATATTCGAGCAATTCTGACCAATTACGTCAATGGGATGCTTTGTAATCTTTTAGATGCATTCTTTCGACAGGGTCGATATTCTTTTAACTAATTCAGTATGAGCGCTCAAGGAAACGTCAACGCGTTCGCACAGTATCCGCTTATTGCAAGCGCGTTCGTCGCTGATTATTATAATAAAATGAGTCGCAATAGAGCAGAAGTCGTCAACCTTTATGTAAGTCTAGAACAAAGAATCAACTGTCACGCAGTTTTACGTTGTCACTGACTGCGTACATAAGACTCGTTTTCCGTATTATTTAATCAACTTTTGCTTGATGTAAATGCAGCATCCGGAAGCGATGATGACGTATGAAGGAGAAGAATATTTTAGGCGAGACAAAGTTTCGGAAAAGCTGGCGGTGAGTCGATGTGTTGGATAACATTTTTCCAACGTGCGAGGTTTACATGAGACAAAGCTAACAATTCTGTGTTTCGTCTGTTTGAATTCTTAGAAATTACAATTCTCAAGTTGTGAATTTCGAGCGCAGACTTTTGATGCTCATCCTGTTTCTGTGAATCAGATCTTTGTCATGATTACTGGGATGTTACTGGTACGATAATGCTTTCATCGTGATTGTATCCGTAATAAATATTGTTCAATGTCATATTATATCTGACGGTTAACATGACAATGCACCCCACTTTTAGGTTGATGGAGAAACCAACCCTACACGTTTTGCACAGTTTCTAACTCTTGAAGTATACGATTTTGTTCCACCACGGACCGAAGCAGAACTTGGTGTGGTCTCGGCTTTGATAAGGAACGATATTTTCCGTTTGAATTATGGTTGATACAAGCCAACGATGGAGCAGATTAATAGATGGAGGCTATGCCACGGTCACTACATTTTATATTATCAGCACGATTGTCGTATGATGTTTTCTTATGGGACATCATCAACTTGAAAAGGGCTCAATAAACGATTAGTTAAGAATACTGAGATTTTTGTATGTTATGACGAATACTGTATGGAAACTTAACCAATTCTCATGCGAATAAACGAACGTTTCACGTTCTGTTGAACTAATAACAGCTTTCACTGATGTACTAACTGTGCACTTCATAGAATAACATTATTACAACTGCACTCACAAGGTTAATATTACATGTTATATCGATATTACCGTCAAAAGCAGTTATACTAATCATGGTATTCTATTACATAATTATCTAACAACGTAATTATGGTGCTAATATTCGATCGAATGCTAGGTATCTTTTGTCAAGGAGCCTACATTGACAAAATTATTCATTAATAAATACTGATGCTGGAGGATGCAACGCCACGGTTTCCTTGTAAAAATCACCGCGTGAACGACAACATTAGCTATCCCCCCATTGAGAAACCTCCGTAAATAAAGGCAACTTCCTGCTCATGATAATAGCGTAGAATCTTCCCTTTAAAATGAAACCGACTGACGGCTTAACACATTCTGTATTCGCCAAAAGTATGCTGAATGTAACAATTGTATTTATATATACTTGCGAATTTGTATAGTCTAGACTCGTCCATGCACTTTTTGATATTGATTTGGTACGTGATACGTATATAACATATCTCACTCGTTTATTACCAAATGTTTATTTTCAAGCTTGGCAAAGTTAAAACTATAAAATTACCCCAAGCCTGATGAGGAAACCCTGAAATTGGTAAATCTAGAACCAATAGTTTTGGAGTAAACTTTTCTTTTCTGCCGTCTACTTTTAAAGCATTACACTTCAAACCCTAACCCTTAACACCCAAGCTATCTTACCCTTATCACAAACTTCACTTAACAAAATGTCTCTCAGTTCTCGCCTTACCGCTGAACAAAGCACATTCATTGATAACTTGGTTGGAGATTCTCAAACCCAGTTGAGACAATTAAAAGAGACTATGGAAAATTCCGCAAAAGCAACTGCCTTGCCTCTGCCTTCGATAAAGCCCTCTTTGCTTCTAACCCTACTCTTTAACCATTCCGTCGTTCAAGGATATAAACTCAATCGATGATATTCAAACTGCAATGGAAATTGACAATAGCGACAATTCGTTACCTAATGTCATCAAATCTATAAGCACTTTTCCAGTGACTTCTTCTGTAGGTAAAAAGGTTTAAGAACTATGTTCTGACTAGCCTTAAAAGGCCAGGCCAGGATAAGTAGCTACCATTCTGGGAATTGGCCCGTTTCGGGGTTATCACATTACAGTAATCCCGTGCACCAATAAATTACATTTGGATGATGGAAGCAAATAGTGTCGCCCGTTCTTAGAATGGGCCATGGGCCGTAACAATAATGTACAGAGACACCTCTATAAGTGCACGCTAGGACTTATAGAGCAACGAATACCAGAAAACTGTTACACATAATAGTGACTAGTACTGTCTCTTATTATCAAAATTATGCACTTTAAGAAAAATATGTGTCAATGTTAGTTTGACGCATTGAGCTTGTTTTCCTGACTTCAGCAAACTTTTCAAATTTTGTAAAGAGGTTATATATTTTCCGCATTGTCTGTTGTAAAAGAAAGGCACGTACTATTTCCAAGCTAGCAATTGCTGTGCTAGTGCTAATAATAATAACAGGACTTTCTTCACTATCATCTATGTCGTCTACACCTGTAATTGCTTGATCAGTATCCTTAAAGAGATATACAAGTTCGTGGTTGTTGTCAGGAACTTCATAAATATTATTCTCTTCAGGAATGTCGAGCAACTATTTACAACAATTATTTATTGTATTATTGTGGCATTTATGTCATCTTTGCTTAATTTGGAAAATGTGATTAAAATTTTTACATAATACAATTTTGTAAGCACGAGTGTATTTACTAGTACTAATAAGTAAACTATTGCAGCTTTGTGGCGTTTAATTGGCTGACTTTTTTTTAATGTCATGTGCTGCACTTGAGGTGTCTCTGTATTGCTTATAATGTCTGCAGAAAACATGCATATGAACATCATACTAATGTCATAATCAACAATGCTGAGAAAAGCTCTTAGACGAAGTAAAACTTAACAATAGTCTCTCTGCAGCAAGAAAGCGAACATTTCATCATGTGAACAAAAATGTATGGTGTGGCTAATAAATTAAAGCTTTGTGTAGTGGCGCAGCAGTGGCACATTATTACAGCAAAATAACAAACCAGAGAAACCACAAATTTTCAGTGTATACATACAAACACCCTCGTAAGTCATGAGTGTACTCATTCAATGATCATTTATAAGATTCCCAATGATGATAAACTCAAAAAGCTTCACCCTACTGATTTGATATTGAAGAGTCTTTTGTGCATTTTGCATAAGTATAAGGGTCTGAAGAACCTCATCAAAAAAACTCATCAAATTGCAAGACTCCCAGGAGAGATAGCTTAGTATTGATCTTGAAAGGATTTGCGCTTGTATTCTGATGTCCCAATACATTATTTGTCATCCATGCATAGGAAATGGTTAACCTGCCATATAAGCTATGGCTTCTTTTGGAAGAAGACCCAACTCCAATCAAGTTCAGGTTCACCCAGGACAACGTGGGCATTGAAAATCCAGACTTGAGCGATCTCGCAGAATTACTCTAAGAAAAATGAGCAACTCAAAGAGGGCCAAACAAACTTGAATTTTTCGGTGATGCGTCATCCGGTGAGGAGACACAGCTGCAGCATGGCAGACAAACCTCTTTGCCCTGATATCCTCGTTGAACATTTGAAGACATCTGACCTGTCTCCTCTCATTGTCAGATATCTGCTGTCTAACAAAACGAGTAAGTCGATTTCTTTTCTTATTTCTCTGAGCTTTTGGTTTGAGCTCTTATTTTTACATTCCTCTCATGTAGTTGTTGCCTATGTGAAGATGGCAAATGTTACCACAAAGCTTACCATTCCACACAGTACTGGGGCTTGGCACTGAGACCAAAGACAGCTATACTATACTTCAAGATGGCTCTGAATTCCACTTGAACTGGTGAAGGAGAAGGAAGTCATACATAACAAGCTTGTTTTTAACCACATGCTTGACATTGCAGAGCAAAATGTGAAAAACGAGGTCATCCTTAATCTCACTGTTAGGATTAAAGGTAAGGCTATCTTGAACCCTGCAATCTGTCCATGGTGCTCATAATAATAAGTCTTTTTGGTGACTGTTTAACAGGAAAAAAGGCCTATGGTATAAAAAGGCAAAGAAGGCAAAGCAGGACATATCAGGTCTATCACAGAATAAAAAGTCTCAGCAATCAACCATAACCATACAATGTTGTGAGCCCAAAGTTTGAGATGTGAGGGAGATGGTTGTCCTCCCCTTCGTGGAGTCTCTGATACTGACAGCACATTGGATTCAATCATCTTTCTTTTCAATTTATTAGGTTCACTCTGTTCACTCTCACTCTTATGCTTAATTGAAGTGATTACACCTTCTAGACTCTCCAAGGCACCATGATTTAGCTTACTTGCATAGTTTTGGTTTGCCCGCATTGCTTGTAGCAGTCCATATAACTTATTTTGCAGTAAAATATTCATATGTAAGCTCTATTAGTATTAGAATAATATTTCTCATAAGTACCTGAAGATCTGTTAACTTCTTCTCTTCTAATTCGGCTTCAACAGATGTCCAAATTTTGTCTAAGACTCCTCCTTTTCGACGTCCTCGCTATGTAATTGTTAGTTTAACAGCTAATTGTAGGTTATTACAGATAGCAATAGTGAAGTGTTACAACTAGCCACAACGATCGTCACTCATCAGATCATAAACGGGGCATCAAGCAGAATTCCCGCATAGTCGCAGTTGATAGTACAATTAAAGTACCAATTAAAGCACCCTTATTGCTAAAAGCTAGCTGTCCACGACGATCGTCACTCATCGGATCATAAACGGGGCATCAAGCAGAATTCCCGCATAGTCGTAGAGATCCAAACCAACTAAACCGTTGATATGGCTACGGCCTAAGAGAACTTCTATCCAGTTGCAACATCACATTTGCACAAGGAAAAACTACACTTACCTTAGCTGTTTCTTGAAGTTTTAATGCCTTTCTTATTGTATCAACATTAGATGACGTGTTCACAATACTTCGCAAACTCTTGTTGAGTTTGTCTGCAGCCCTCTTGTACTCGAGTCTTTCCGGTCTATCTTTGTTTTTTTCTATGAAAAAGCGATGGAACTCAACGATATTCCACTCAATAGGATTCTTCAAATCGAAGTATGATTGCTTGTTGGTCATTTCCTGCAGGTCATGCAAAATAAGGTGAATAACGGCATCTCTGGCAAGTAGTTTATCTGAGTTCCTGTGACGGAAAAAGGGTTTTTTTTGTTGTCTTCCACTGGTCCTTGCATTTAAAATGAGTATTTGACAACATAACAATAACGCGTTTTCAAAATGACACTACAGTCAGGAGTTTTACCGATTCGGACAACGCAGATCGCACCTTTTATGATAAGAAAACAATTCTAGAAATTTCCAGCATTAGATTGCAGAACAATAATGCAAAAAAAAAAAAGTTTATTCAAGTATATACGTACAATTCAGTTGCTTTTGTTTTAATTTATCAATGTGTTCTTTTTTATTAAGTTCAGAAAAAAAATCTCTTGGGGAGATTACCTAGTGACGAATGGCATAATGCCGCGTGTTCATGGTGATGTAAAAAAAAGTACTGCAATGGAAGACCAAAATAACAATTGACAAAACGTTACCGCAACTGTGAAGAATTTTCTGAGAATTATTACTATGCTGATTACCAAGTCCTGGTAGAATGTTAATTGCATTACCCAATTGCTTGTATTTTTACCAGCAGAATCGAGTAATAAATCGGTCTATCGTGATTTTATCGCAAGTCTTGAAGACAATAACACGTTGAAATTGTTAAAATGCATTCCGCAAGTTTATTACTCATAAAAGTCAAAAAGACAGATGACAATAGATTCACATACTGCTACACTACACCAACCAAGCTTCCATATTCAGATGTAAATCCTTCAGTTGGATGGCTGCAATTAGTATTAGTGTCACTTCTGCAATGTTCACCAGAAGAATTGGGATGGGTTGATTTCATATTCAAGCAGAATTTCAGTTGCAGAACAGTATCTCTGATTCAACTGCTTAGTATTAGCATGGGCAGAACCAGTATTAGTATTGTTTATGAAGGATTTGAGGATAAAGGAGTAGCTGTCAAAATGGCAAAGAGTGACAAATATCAAGGAGTGCATCAACTGTGAGAATGAAGTATTGCAAAAACTAACCAGTCTTCAGTTTGCACATTACAGTACAAATGCTTTGGTCATGGAACCTCTCTGTGAAAAGGTCCCAATTTGTGAAAGGAAGATGTAATAATAACAAACATAATCACAGGACTCAAAATGGTATATTCTGGTTTCAACTACAGTCAACCTGGTTATAATGAATTCAGAGAAATATTCCTTATAACCAGAAATTCCTTATAACCAGAAATTCCTTATAACCAGAAATTCCTTATAACCAAGGTTACTTTTATGGTGAAGACTATAATTGTTTTATAATTAGGTTCATTATATCCAAACCAATGTTTTTATTAATGCTAAATTATCGATCAACTTTAGTTAAATTCATATCCCTATAATAATAACAAACTTATAGAGGAATAATTGGAAAATTTTGTATATCTATTTCTAATTATTAATGAAGTACTGCTCCAATTGCATCTGTACTTTTTTAGACATAATATTATTGAGAATATTATTTTTAATACTGTTAAGCTATGATTTTGGTTACACCAACGTTTATAACGAATATCTATCTGTTGGCACGTTACGTTGTTCTGACAAATCTTCGTTATAAGCATTATAACCAGGTTTCTTAATGAAATTCGCTATAACTAGCCAGATACTCAAAAATGATTGGCTTAAGAGAAAATCTTCATTATAAACAGATCTTCGTTATAACCAGGTTTGACTATACTGTACATACACAGAAGTACAATTTGGTCCGAGATCGCTTGGGCAGAATTGTCATAATTGATTGGGGATACAGTACGCAAATGCCAATTTGGTGGCCTTGTCACGTGGCGAGAACATTACTAATACACCACGCATAGATCTTATTTCATTTGTTCGATCATTCTATCTAATGCTTCACAAACCGCAGGTGCAGAGGCTTTCATTTGATGGTAATTCTGATATTCGATCGCGCGCTTTGAAGGCTCTCAATTTTGGTCTTCGTGGGGACAAAGTGGGATATGGCTAGATGCTAAAAGTAACCATTAATATGGATAAATATTTTGTTAGACACCATTGTTTGTAATAACTGCTTCTATTCTCTGTGGTATACAGTACTTTCTATCAAGCCCATTAATTCCTTGAAATCTTGTCCCATTCTTCACGCAGTGCAGTCTAGTATCAGGATTCTCTAACACAGCTGGTACAATAAATTCGATAATATAATTCCTGAGAGCGATTAATCTTTCGCGTAGGGGTGTTCTTCCGACCGGGGGATGTTTCCAGATTTAGCTTCGTGTTACCGCCCTTATTACTGAATTCTAAAATTGCGCGTTTCCTAACTCCCTATACGAGCTTCAGTCATTTGTAATCCAAATAAGGGCCTGCGACTAGAATAACAACAACAATTAATCTATGGCAGAATCGAAGGGGAATAAAATTCTATTTAATAATTAAACAGGGCTATTTTTGATTTGATTTTTTTCGACTAGTCGGATTCCGTCACTTGTCTCTAATAGAAATAATTAAACAACATTTGTTTTCAATAAATAATTATCGGCTCAATTAAGAGTAATGGATCAGCGGAAAACTTACACAGCTTGGTAGAGCCGTCTATTAGTGTGTCCGGTCAAATAATTAATATTTCAACGATAATAGAAAGTAAAATTTTTCAATTTCAAAGGGAATCGTTATTTGATTATTAATATTCCGTGGAATGGGTACTTGACAATGTTTACTACATAAACGACAACATAAGAATTTGATGATGGGGCTTATATACCTTTAGCGACACTCAAAATCGAAACGGAAGTATAATTGTAATTTATAACAAACCAATAAAATCCCAAGTTAGCTAATGGCGTTTATGCTAGCACTCAAAAATCGACACGAAGTATCAACCATTAAATGTCGATCATGGGACTGTGGATGAAGATTTTTCCATGTGACTCGCTTATCTTCCATTTTCAAAGTCCAATCTCTCCTTTCAGTATACAATTTTCTTTATTGATTGCTAGAATAAATTTGTGAACTGGGCACACAAGAAGAAATCTCCATTTTATGTAAATTCAGTTGTTTTTGGTATATTAGTTTTTTTTTTAACAATTTTTTAACAGTACTCGTTAGAATGTTGATTTCATTGGTCAATTTTAAATTAAGTTACCTCAGACCAGGACAAGTAGCAAGACTGTCCTGTACTTTGTAATAGTATGCGAGTCAGTTCTTCTAATAAACTTTGAGCAGTCGGCTAATTTTGACATTAATTTCCTATTTTTTGACCAAGGGATGTTGGAAGTTTATTCTTTGATATTTATTTACAAATAACATGAAACTTTTTTTTTAAAACCAAAACAATAAGATATTAAAATTTGAGACATAATTATTATGCATAATTTTGCGTAATTAATAAATTTAGATGTGCAAGACTTTTGTCCAGGTCGTGTATGTTGTACCTCGGTTTGGGATCCTGTCTCAGTTCTGGACTGAGGTGTCCGAGTTCTAGACTGAGATGGTCCCAAACTGATGTAAAACATATTCAGCAGGGGAAAGACGGGATCGTAACTTGTCAAGCAGATATGTGATTAGCACAACCGTGGTATTATAAATAAAGACACCACCATACGCTTTGTTTCATTAAAAAAGACCAAGATTGTAAGATCGAAATATCAAATTGATGTAATCTGCGCTCTAACGGGTTTATCGAATTTACCAAGTGCATGCACATGCGCAATTTTGCGATACCTAAACAACAAGGCTGACTTGTTTAGCGATGATTAGTATAATAAGGATGTGGTAGCAACCTTAGTGACAAAGCACATAAAAAAGCAATTTGGCGACGGCCATTACACAATAAACAAGTTGTTACTTTTGGCGCGACGAGACAAGCGCAAGGAAAAGTCTATTTGTGACATGCTTTCTGAGCTCCAGCGCGCCTAGATTTCGATTCTCCAGCACAGTGATTGATTGAAGTAACATTAACATTGGCACTTGAATGTGTGACACTTTATTTAAATATGCGCCATTACTGTGAATGCCAAGCGTATTATGCGTTAAACAATGAGAGGATACAGTACAAACAACAAATTAAATGTGTCTGTAATGTCTTGTATAACATTTTGTTTGTGACATGGCGAACTCCAATAACAATACCAATTCACTCTTCTTATATTTACTGTTGTAACTACATGTACGTGTATGCAGCATTCGCCAGATTTACACATTAAACGATTATTATTATTATTATTATTATTATTATTATTATTCGCGTCTAATTTACTCGAGAAATTAATAATAAATTTTGAACTTAATTTCATTACATTGTAACTTTTTAAAATTGCCTTTGTATTTGAAGTACATTTTGGAATAATAGAATCTAACGCCGCATAGTAAGAATAGCTAGAATAATTTTCAATTCTTATAGAGAGTCACGGATACATTAATATCCTTTTTTACTAATAATAAAATGCATAGCATTTACTTTACTTGACTAATAACTTGCAACAATTGAACATGCTCTTTGCACTCATTATTAATAATATTAAAATCTTAGGGAAAAAAGTATATTCGGAATGTGAGTCTCATTGATAACCAAGTTGGGGCATCTTGGTATCATCGATCTGGAAAAGTAATATGAAACGATCGTAGCCAAAACAAATAAATGCATACTTCTATTGTCAGCATGCAATGAGTACAAAATGACATGCAAATTTGGTAAGTACACTTTGCGGGCGATATAAGCTAAATGAGGAAGTTACGAAATGCTCCTAACTATATTAGAAATAGATTCTCTCATTCTTTACCAAGTCGACCCAAGTTGAATGCTAGCCGTAAATCGACATGTAAATATTGTAACCGCTTAATATTAAAGGCTTTGTCACTAATTAATAAGCAGTTATCGTGCGCGGGATCGACATTTGCACCAGGAATTCCATAACTGGAAATATAAAAGAAATTTCGTTAGTGACATTTTCATTCGCTCAACAGAATGCGTACGCACCCGTACAATTACATTTTCGTATTTGGTATTACACATAT